CTTCAGCACAACTGATGAACATGAGATGTGCTTGATTAACCTGAAGATAAATGTCTTGCAAACAAATTTGGATCCGTTTAAAAATACCATAATGTGATGGTGGTCTCATTAACTGACTTAGGAACACACATAATAGCTTGGATATTTTTTTGCTCAGATTGATTATTTTGTATTACCACTAAATGTGAGATTTCAATACAATAAAAGTAAAGCTCAATTGGAGTTTGTAACCAAGTATAATTTAACCGATATTCCACTTGTTCAGGTGATCGATCCTTAACATGAGCTCATGGGTTTATCCGGATTTCGTCCACGAATCTTCTTGGTGAAAAGCACGCAAACGTGTTTCGGTTTTTACATTCGAACAGTCCTGTACATTTTCATAATTCAGTTGATTACTCGCAGTTATTGAAATCAAAGGGACATTGTGGTGCACCAACTAACGTTTTAATGTATGGTGTCATCACTTTTGATTGACAAATAGTCAATTCTCTTTTGAGAAAAAATGCTGTTCATAAGGTATGTTCTTTTTCTGTATACGAGAGTACCGATAATCAGCAAATTCTAATTCCAAATTTTATTATTATTATTAATTATTATTAATTATTATTAAAGCTGATGCTTATACTATCTGTACATCTTGGGTTCGATTTTCGTAGAATTAAACAGCAAAACATGACATTCACTCACGATTGCTGGAAACTTCAATGCTTCATCGAACCACGACTTGAATGAATCGATCGTTGGTTGGTTGCGCAAACGACTTAAGGTGTCAGAGAGTCCCCGGTATTGCAAACTTTGAGGCCGAAAGGGTGACGTCTGTATTCTGGCCAAATCTTTTGCAGCAAGAGTTTAAAAGGATGTCCACTAAGGTGACTATTGTCAAACAGTGTTAGTGGAGTACTACATCGGAGGATTGGATTGATGTAGAATTTGATAGCCGAGTATCATATCTCCACGTATTCGACAGTATTCAGATCAATAGAGCCCTGAGAATATGCAGCCATTCCTTTGAAGAAAGAGCAGCAATCGCTTCCATTACTTTTGACTGAACAGGAAGAAATGTGGCTGGACGGTTGTTCGCAGGAGTACTTCTGCACCAACCTTTGTGAACAGGTGAAAAGGATACGGTTTTTCAGGACAAAGGCATCCTTGTATTTTTGAGCATTGTTTTGGCAAAAAATGAGGAATTATTTTGATATGTGATTTGCTAAGCACGTCAGAGTCTGTGGGCTGATGTTCTCTTCCCGTGGAGATGAATTCCTACGCAATGCCTATAGTTTGGTTTTTATGTTTTCCTATCTGAAGCTTACTGTGGTCAATTTTGGGCATGTGACACTTGAGAGAAGGTATAGAAGCTGTAACTGAGCCTTGTGATCCACAGTGAGTAATTCATGGAACTGGACTTTCAGGAATTCGGCTGCTTCACAAGTAATAGTGGAAACGCGTCCTCCATTACTCAGTGCGGATATTTCGAATTTTATGTTTTGGTGGCACTGATATGCTCATATTGGAGCTTTGGAATGGAAATCAATTTGTGTCAGGGTTTCTTGAAACCTCCGTTTATTCTCTCGCACTAATTTTACGCAAAGTTTCCTCAACATGATATAATGATCCAAAGTGCTGATGGTCCGACATCTATTGAACTATCGTCATGAGAAATTCTTCTGTGACACACATTTCTTGGTTCGACTACGTATACGTTATAATCGTGTAAGAGAACTACCGTTTTTCTGCAGGCATGTTTGTAACGAGTTGAAATGATACGGTGTTTCGAGGACTGAATCATCCTTTTTTTGATTCCAGTTTCGTTAACATTTTCAACTTCATATTGTATTTTTTTGAGGTTTGTTTATTTTCATTCCTTCTATGCATTTGACTAGTTCACTACCAGAGCACTGTACCTGAACATGTATTATAGACGTGTTATACTACGAAATCCGTGATCCGCATATGTCAGTCAGTTGCATAAGTTAATGTTGTATTTGTGTGTCCATTATGTATCTTAGGATTTGATTCTCAAAATGCAGCATCCTTGTTTTCAGACTCACACTTCCCATGAAGCGATAGAAGTCTGCTAAGGACGTGAACCGTGTTTCAAGCTCAATGACAGCCAACGTGTAGGCAACCCATCGTAACTGGCAACGGTGAATACGTTTTTGAGTATGATCTAACTTGAATCATTGATCATTTTATTTTAGTTCGGCCTGGTTTCTTGTTGTTTACATCACAATAAATGAGATGCGAATATAGATAGATATGTTGACTATTTCTTTGAAGAATTTGCCTCATTCATCACTGAATTGGTAATCGTGGTTGTCTCCTATAAATGTCACCACTACGTACAAGAGTTCACTTTGCTCTTGCCGAAATATGTTTTAGCTGCTCTTTGTATCATTTGTTGCGGGTTTGAAAAGTAAAATGCTTTTGTGAACGCTTTGTGAATGGATATTGAACGAAACCTTTATTACACTAAATTTTCAATCACTTTTCAACATTTTGAAGTCGTTTTGAGGTTCCAAATTAAGTGGTCGAATGACAGGGTAAGTTGCCATTGAGTAAATGATTTAGTTGCTTCTCGATTTCGTATAACTATCCAGTGAACTGTATGCTTTTCCAACAAAGATTTATAAGGAAAAGATAGCAAAATCGCGCATCTGATCTAGCGTTATCAATTGATACATTTATTTTGCAATGCTTCTTTTCGTAATGTTTTTAAGACCAAAGGATTGTTCACCGTGACATGGAAAATTTGTTATTTGATTGTATCAAGTTTGACGATATATTTGAGTTCAAAAAATCAATGTGATAATGTGCTTGAGTGATCCGTCTTTTACAGTGGAATATTGCATGTGGAAATCGACTAGTGACAATCAATTAGAAATCAGTAGTTTGGTTTCCCAACTAGTTTTGTTTGACATACTGTATATTCCCCCTTAGTTCCAATCACGCATGCGGTCTCGATGTTTGAGCCCTCACATCCCGCAGAGAAAATTAGGATTGCAGATAGGTTCCGTCAAATAATAAATAGTCCATAAAATTCTTTCTAAATGATCATGTTAAACCAAAATTTGTTTTGTTTTATGTCAAGAATTCTGTTGAATAACTCAATCGATTCATAGCGATAAAAGCATCTGTTCGAGAAAACGCTTGTTGATTACATTGTGAGTTCATGTCAAATTTTATTTTGTAGATAAGAAAGAGCCTTAACTTCTTAGTAACGTTCGGGGTTTTGTAATCGAAATGATGTGATGCCTAATAACAATTAGATGCACCGTGATTGTAATCTTTACATGTTTATCAATTTTGACGAATTCCGGGTAAAGACTGACTATATTAAGCACCAAGTTGCGATAACTGAAAGCTCCCACGTGTGAGACCACATCGATTGGAGTTTGAAGCCCAAACCCTTTGATTGTATTTCACACCGAAAAGACTGCAGGAGTTGTAATAAATCGTATCAGCTTCATACACGTTTTCGATCACCTGTCAGTTGAAGTGAATAATCACTTATTATAGCTGTTTTTATAGAATTTAATTATGACCATTTCTGTTGTAGAGCAAACATTGTTCTCTCGAAAAGCGATTTGCTTTCTAAATTTACTTTTTCGCTCCACATTTTGTATTGGGCACTTTTTACACAACCGTTGTTGTATATTACTCTCTGAGTAAGTCACAAAACTAAATTTATGTATGGGTATGTTCTTTATGTTCTGATGACCTAGAGTATTGGTTAAATGTATGTACTTTCAGGTATATTGGAATTATTGAAATCATAAATTAAATTATTACACAACCAGGAAAAACACCAGATGTAACAAATTGGTATTCCGCCCCTGCAATGGATACACGATTGAATTTAGACTTTATTAAGTTTTACCCGTTTTGATAAGTAGTTATCTTGCTATGGCTGAGCAGCGGGTGTACAATCTATAATAAACCATCGATAAATTTGTGATGCTAATGAGTCTTATTCTTAAAGAGAAACAAATCGTTTTCTTTTTCTATCTTGGCAGTGATCCCATCAGTATACCGAAAATTTACTCTCCTTAAAGAAAAAATCCGTTAGGTAAAATCAAAATGATTGAGTTTATCAAACATTTTTTTGATAAACAAGCATATCTATTTATTTCTATTTATTGCGCACCATAAATTGAAATTTCACAAAGTTGTTCTCCCCTTTGCTCTTCGCAGTCCATTCCACCAATAGGAATTGTGGTACCACTTTTGTTGATGTGAACTAAATCGGTTGCTCTTATTATTCGGTTAGCGTGTGTTTTTCACCCCTATCGATCACTAACCAATGAGATTTGTCGCGCCGGACCCTATGCAAAATACGCAACAATATATAAGTCAGTATTCGTGCAATTGCCAGCAATGGAATAGTGTCCCAACAAACTATGAGCAGGTAAGCAAATATGATGTGAACTGATATTAGAAAACAACCGGGAGGCTTTACGTTTATGTTTTGCTTTATGTCGGCGCCGTAATGTATTTGTTGAGTCGGATTGTGATGATATAGCGGTGTATAACAGCAGAATCGGCAAGACCAGAATGGAAAAAAAATCGGCCATAGTGTGAGTGGAACATTTCCATGAATATTCCTTCCCGAAGAAGGATAAGCACCATTAAAGTGTATATCGTCAAACAACATGTATGACACGTGATATACATGAACGTAAAGAATGACCATGTAGTAGTAGTTGTCTTTTGTGCAATTTGCTATTCACAACTGGCAGACAAACACATTTCCATAACGCGAGAGAAACTTGTATAAAGCAAAATCTTTTGTTGACGCAATAAGTATTCTCGATATGAATGGTCAATTTATATTTACCAGTTTTATATGCGACACCGCTTGACTTGATGGGGCTTTCTTTTTATTTTATAAATGAACACAGTTTCGGACATCAATTCACTTTCAATTGCACTGTAGTAGATATTCTTTTGAGCATATAAACATTAAATCTTTGCACGACCTTGAAAACGCAAGCTAATAGATGCATGTAATTTGTAGTGCCTCAAGTGTAAACCACAGTGTTTATGTGGGTAAAGAATTCACTAAATATTCCTATATCAAACCTGAACAAGATATACATCCACTTGTCCATGTTCAACACAGATCAATCTACGTGACGTTGGCGGGGGCCGTTTTGTTTGTTATTTTCCTGTGTACAACACTGGTCTCAGCAACACGCAGTTCCATGGATTACGAACCGGAGTTTGATTACTATCCTGAATATGGCTACGAGCCTAGCGCGTTTTCATTCGACGGTCGAGGTGGTTTAGCTCGATTCGGAAAGCCATGGCCTCGTGGTGCATTCGTCAAACGTGGTCAATTTTTGCGTCTTGGTTAAGGTAATGTAATCCGAAATCTGTTGTACATATCATACTAGTGATATTTGCTAATCGCTCGCCCGACTGCAACGGACCTTCGATAAAAGTTACCGTCTAGTCATTGATTCGCCTTTTTGAAGACAACCAGTTGTGAAGAATGAATAAAGTTTCAGTGTGATGATAGTCCAAATAGCCAAAGTGTGTTTAAGATTCATGTAACAGGAGTTATACAAAAAACATGTTTCATAAATCAAATTTCAGTTTCAAACATAAGACATTAATGCAAACTTTTTCCTAAACCATCAACTTGAAGAATATTCTACACTGTAAGAACGTGTCATCAATCGAAAATGGAATAAAAGGTTCTCCAGTAGAGGTTGAGGTAAATTTGCATCACCAATGAATTGGTTATTTAGCTATGAAAATGAAAAACCAACTAAATAGATCGAATACCTTATCTTCTAAGAAACCAGGCATGGTGTTTTAATGCGTTCATTGTTCACCACATCATATTTTCAAAGAAAAATATTCTTTTATTCCCGGTAGCCGATTGTGAACACTTTCTCGTTGTTTTTGTTGACAATGATTCAAAGCGATTCCATTAATGTTCCTTTGTTACATTTTTCTGGGGGACGTTTGTCAATCTCTACATCTTGGCTTGAAGAGAAAAACTAGTCACTGTGTGTTTCCCTGTGAAGTGAACCTCCTGGCAGCCAGTGACACATTTGACTATCCAAAGTAAAAACGACAGGTTTGCTGAAAAACGAATGCGAAACCCAAGATTTTCGATTGCATGGAAAAATAGTAGTTTAGATCGGTTTGAAGTAACTTTAATTGGGCCTCTATTTTCACTGGTCGGACAATCTGGTTTTATAAATTTATTCCTTAACATTACACATTTTCAGATGAAAACATTGGTACCACATTATTGGCAGGACATGTTGAAGAATTTTTCTATTTAACTATCTTATTTTTTTGTCCCTCCGAATTTTTTTCAGATATGCGCATTGGACTAATGGACCCTCATTAAAGTGAATATTACATGACGGCATAATGTTGTTTACCTTGTCAGATAATAAATTGCAACTGTTCAATTTTTTCATGGTTCTCTTTCTATAAAATACATATCGGTGTCAATTCGGGATCCATTTAAACAGCGGTTTTCTGATTTATATAATGATTTCTTTTGTATTAAGAGAACTTTATTGCATGCTTATAGTAAGACAAATCGAAGAGTACATTTCCGGAAAAATTTCGAGACTTCTTCATTCGATGAATGAGGGCACATGTTGACTAAATCTAGTGGAGGAAATCGTATAAACGTTGTTTTTAGATTGGCCTGCTCGCGTTATTGGAGAAATCGGAAATTGAGGAATTTGCTCGAAGGGACAGTTTCAGCATACTCATAATTGATGGCCATCATTCATTAGATTTCCATTGAACCAATCCTTTACCGTCAGATTTTAAAGTGAAATGTTTTCGTAGTATTCATCAAACTCTACCCTCAGTCCGATTTCTATATTACAATTCCTTCTGTTTCAAATGTTTATTTCGATCTTCTAACTTTTCGCGGAATTCAATCAAATTTGAAGGCAGAAATCACACGCTGCATCTGCAATGCAATTTCAGAGAGGAACATTTACTGGCATGGCAAAGCTTGAATTAAACGATAGCTACTAAAACAGCTTCGATCTTGCCGAAAACAGCAATCAGCAGTGGCTTATGCACTTTAATATGAACTGGGCTGAACGCACTAGCGTGACGTGCTTTTTTTGAAACTAGTTTTATAATCTCAGCTTAACTAAAATAATCAAGTAATTGAGTTTTATCTCGATATCGTTATCCTCTATAATCCAACAAATCAGTAACTCACCAGAGAATTCCTCAGCTTAGTGCTGTCACATGATGAGTAAAAACATACACTTGATGTCTAACTGCTCCTGTTTAGACAATAGATTTTAAAACCGATAAATATCCTGGTGCTTAATTGTGGGCAACTGATCTTTTTCATACTATGACTTAGGACTTGTCCTCTTCTGAGTCTGAGCATCTATTCCCCGAGGAAAACTTACCAAGAGATTCAAAATAGTTTTCTGATCAGTCTATCGCCATTTTCAAATTAATTTCATGGTTTCAATGTTCAGACAACTGAAGGTTAACGGATGGACTGTTTATGATCTTACGGGAACCGTTGTTTCGAGGGTAGGTCAAAAGATGATTAGTGGCACTTTTAGGCTGTTCCTTATCGAACAGGCTTATTAAGAACACCATGCAATCCTCGAAGCGAAAGGGTTTAGCACGTATGCAACAGTTAACCGTAAAAGCTAAGTATATGGTTAACCAGTATATTCGAGAGAAAGTTCATTGCAATTCAGTCATAAATGAATGTGCCGAAGTGAAACATTTTATTTCAAGCATCAGACGTTTTTCCAAGGCTTGCAGCAATTATTGTGGCTTCACTTGATACCCGAATATTGAGACAACGATATTATTGAGCGCAACAATGTGGATGCTAGGTATACTGAGTTTTCCTCAACTTATTTTTAGAAAAATACATTATTCAACCTTTTACAGCGTTTCATTGTCATTTGCTCATTCATATACTAATTGAGTTGTAATCTACATAAGACAACTTAGAGCTTTGTTTTAAACACTACATTTAAAACGCTTCTTAATAAATATTTACTATGCTCCCTACTCTTCTTTATCTCAAATCCTCCTAAATCACCTGCACCGTTTCACTGTAAAATGAACGTTACACAAAGCAAAGTCACACCAGTAGTTTTTCAAGTTCAATAAAATTCTTCATTGCTTATGTCTGAAGAACACCATATTCTACACGTCTATTTACATCCATTTAATTCTTCTAGATAATGCTTCTCCTACATGCGTCAACACTCAGTCTGTCATTTATTCAAGATTCTCATGTATAGCTTTATCCATCAGAATTAGTTTGATTAGGTTAGCAAAATATCATCTATTATTATGGTTGTAAACGTAAATGTTGCTCGAACCAATGGATAATTTTTTAACAACGTTCATTCAGTAAAGCTGTATACAAGGATAGTTCTTGATTTGAGTAGATAAAGATGATCAGGATTATTTGTAGACTGACGGGTCTTGGCCCCGACAGATGATGGAAAATCTACTCTCCTTACTGCATTTATCAGACCCACGCATTATAACCGTTATCATCCAGTAGTCCACTGGTATCAATCGTAGTTTACTATCGCGGATAGCTAGTGAATCTATTTTCAGCAGCAATCTTGTATCCCACACGAAACTCCTTGCTGTAGAAATGCAGACCTTCTCACTGAAAACGATTTTCTACGGTGGTTTTGGGTTTTAAGACCAAGCATTCGTTAATCTATCCAGTAAGATGGAAAAGAAAGCAAACGTAATATTACCATATGAATAGTTCTAAAGAATTCCGTCGTAAACTCGTATGTTTTTACATGTTATCCAATGAGCTCATCGCTAAATTCAGCCATCTTCATAGATTCTTTCTGGCGGTGCTGTATCGAACCTTTTTTCCTGCGGATACATAGGGTTTTCAGCTGACATTATCTTTTAGAGTATCTAAGTGGTAGATAGAATATTAGGAGAATAAATAATTTTTGTCCAGCCTACCAATAAGATTATGGTTTACCAGAAAGTCAGTTCTAGGCAAACTTTCCATTTTGATGTGATTGTTTTACGCACTGAAAAACGTTGCCCTTTGATAGAACGTCCCTTTTCTTTTTCACATCCTATAAGATCAGTTCGCAGTTATATATCCAAAAGTTATATTACGAAAGAAGTTTTACCATAATTAGCCAAAGGAACCAAACAGCCCATCAATAAGNTTGAACGTTTAAAACATCTTCAAGTGAATAAGCATTCTATGCATATCAGTGCCCGAACCGCCCGCAGCTATCCTATAGATTGCACCACATATCGGGATGGTCTGTGACGTGTTATAAAGAATACTACTGTGACACATTTTTAATTTTATGACTGAAATGAAAGATTTGTCGTTGTCTGTTTTTCACCTGATCTGTTCTACTGGGCCAGCCAAAGTTAGACAGATATGTGCATTAATCTTTTGGTAGTAATTTTGAGAAGGGAACTATTAAACTAGCTGTTTTACCGACACATGAACTAAATGGTAAGTTATCGGCAGATGTAAACTTGCATTGGGACCCGCAGTTGTATGTTTCCCTTTATTGTTCCCCTCATTGTTTGTAACATGCAAAACCGAAATTGGAATTTGACCCAGAGATGTTATCGATGCTCATGAGTACTTCTGTATCAAGTTGCATGCGTAGAGTATCCCGGATAATTTATTTAGCCAATAATCATAAACATTAGGTCCTATATTCAACGAAGTTTGAATGCTGATGCAAACTTTCAAAAACGATTTCACTGTTTACCAATAAACATTCGAGATCAAAGCAATGATCTTCTAACCACAAAGTTCTGAAGCTTTACCTACTGGCAAACATAAAAGCCTCATTTTCTCAAGCTGCGATTAGCCAACCATACACTAATGCAAAAGTGCTGATAGTATTTTACTCCAAATTGGCAAGGCGTGCGCTATACGCTTATGTGCCCACGAAGTGACTAATCAAATGATGCTGCGTTTACGGAGTAACTGGAATCTCTATTCAAAGCACCACAAACAGTCAATTATTGTTCCCAATTTTCCGTTGTGTATTTAAGTGCATGTGATCGGATTGATTCACAATACTTGGTGCAAAAGCAGCGAGCTTTGAGGTTTAGCTTTTTCTTTTAACATCAATTGTCAGATATCATTTTTATTCGCCTTTATTTTAATGAAAACTCCTACTGAATGCATAACAAGATAAGAAATATGAGCTTGCTATCTGTATATTCTATTGAATGAATAGACCAAAGAGTGACTTCTGGACTGAGGCGTGCATTTTTGAAAACGACTTTTAATGTCCACTCCAATACCTGAAATCTTTGATTTGTGAGGTCGCTAAGCAATGATTTACTTCACGTTTTCAAGCACAGAAAC